GGATCACTGTGAGGGAGACCTTCTTATATCTCCTCATTGATTTCAATGATATTTAGTGGTTCCTGGACTTTGATTACTTCAATTGAATACAGTTTTATTTATATAGCGCCAAATCACAACAAAAATCATTTCAAGGCACTTTACATAGTAAGGTTATGACCTTACCTTACAATGACAATGACACAGTGAGCTCAACTTTAGGGCTAGACATAATGAACTACAGATTTCCAGGGTATGATGATGCTATCAATTTCCTAGATTTCTTTATTTTTTTAAATTGTTGTCCTCGTTTGAAGTCAGTATGAGTGCCAGCATCCATGTCAACAGTGTATTCTTAATGCACCAAAGTTGTGAATTGTGAAATTCTCTCCATAGATCCCATTGTTCAGGATATATGTACCCTATACATAGTTCAGTTAATTTCAAGGTTCATACTACTGTGATTTAGTGATTGAGAGATCTTGTTACTGAACAACTGGCAACTAATGCCCAGTCAAGAAGAGTGAGTGTCCTAAGCAAGCATAATTTTCACTGCCCTCAGTGGTCTGAAATACTGTCTAGGGAATCACTGTGCGTAAGAGGTCAGGACTCACCACATAGGACTATGGTAGGCTATCACTTTACTAGGAGCACTAAACCGTACTCACAGCAACTAAAATAAAAAGGAAAGGAAAAAACTGCTCAGACTCTCAGGTTTGAGGTTCCTGCTACTGGTGACTCACACCTTGACAGCCTCTTCAGCCCTGCATTGATGTTGCAGCCTTCCGCCCCAGCTGCATGCATCATATTATTGGTAACCTAATCTACTGCCTGATGCCCAGTTGGCCCAAGGCCATAGTGTGTTTAAAGTGTGTTTCGGTGAATTCCGGTGAATTCCTGGGTTTGATGCTGACAGGTGAACTGTCAAACAAATAAAACACATTTAAATGTAGAAGTGACTGGAAGGAAAATTAGAAAAATACCCACGAATCATGGCACAGTTGTTGCACTGAGACATTCAGTACACACACAAGTTACTGGCACCCATAACCAAGTGATGTCTCTATGCAATAGCAAATACAGTTCTGTATATGTGCCAGAATGCCTGCTCCTGACTGTTTGCAGTGCCCTCCTTATGAACAGTGACTCACCAACTCAATCTCTCTCCTCTCCCATTTTCCTATGCTCCTTCTCATCTGCCATCCTAAAGCCTGCCAAATAAAGGTGTGACAAAGGACAGTCCTCAAAAGATGAAGCATCAGCCCAGGAAAATCACCAGAATTCAATTTCATCCCTAAACTAACCTCTATGGCGGCACAGCGGGGCTCTAGTTAGTGCTGTTGCCTCATAGCAAGAAGGTTCTGGGTTTGATCCCCAGCTGATCCGGTGCCTTTCTGTACAGAGTTTACATGTTCTCCCTGTGCCTGTGTGGGTTCTTCCTGGGTACTACGGTTTCCTCCCACAGTCCAAAGACATGCAACTTAGGTTGATTGGTGACTCTAAAATTGCCTGTAGGAGTGAGTGAGTGTGTGTGGTTGTTTTTCTACATGTCAGCCCTGTGACAGACTGGTGACCTGTCCAGGGTGTACCCTGCCTCTCACCCAGTGTCAGCTGGGACTGGCTCCAGCCCCCCTAGCGACCCTATTCATGAATAAGCAGTATACTGTAGATAATGGATCAATGGATGGATGGATATTTCACCAGTTTAGGAGATGTAAAGCCTCAGCAGGCCAGAGCTACAACATATAAGAAATATGAGACATGACAAGAATAAGGATGGGTAGTGGGAGGGTAGTGGAAGGTTTGTGGGAAAGGAATGTGAGGTGGTAGGAATAGTGAGGTTGGAGAACTAGTGAGTCACTGGTGCTGACAATACTGTCTAATAAGTGAGACAAGAGAGAAAGGAAGAGTTTGAGGGAGAATAAAAAGGAAAGGAACAATAGTTATGTTTGGTGAAGTGGACAACAAAAGAGTAAGAGAAAGTCTGAGAAAGTAATAGATAAAGAGGAAAAGTGAGAGACGGCTGGGTCAGCAGATGGCGACTGTGAGCCTGAGATGATGGTCTTGTAGTCAGAGGACTGTCAGTGGACTGTCATTTGAACACGCGCATTCATGCACATGCACACAACATGTAAACACAAACAAAAACAAAAAGCACAAACTAACACATTTAACATTCACACATAGCCACAAGCATACAAACTATGCAGATGGAAACACCCACTTCCCCGTCCAGTATGCCCACTGGACAATGTGTTCTCAGATCAGACTAGGAACTGCACAACTTTCCATCAGGGAATGGGGATGATCACACACACACACACACCTAGGTCTGTATATCTCAGGGCTTGCCTACAGTGCTTGGCAGAATAGCACTACTTCTGACTTTTACTGTAGGTTGGTGAAGCAAAAGTGACAAAGCTATGGCTCTAATAAGAGATTAATATGAAAACATCTGAGAGCAAGAAAGGAACAGAGAAACAAAGAGAGAGTGAATCACCCTCAAGAACCACATCCTTTCCCGTGAATTGACTGGTGTGGCAAGGTGACAGCTCAACCGCAACACTCCAAGAAAGCACACAAAGTCAATTTGCAGTCTATGGTCCCATGTAGAAAAGCATAGACAGATTTCAGAAAACCACTCGTAGAAAAGCAGTCCAGCCAGACAGAATGTCTTTGCAAAGGCTCTGACAGGGGCATTTATCAGTCAGAATGAGCACTGATATTACAACAAAGGATAACTGTCCAAACTTTCCAGAGGCATGGAGTGAAAAATGAAAAGCAGACAGCAAGAAAAGGGCAGATAATGTGTTACCTGTTTATGTGAAGACCATAATGTGTACAACTAGCACAGACTGAGCACTGAAAAACCTCCAAAAGCAGCCTTAGATATTGATGCCATTGTTTCCCCAAATGAACAATCCCAGCACCCCTGGGACAGACAAGCTAGCACCAGGCTCATTATGATTAACACTGTAATATTTCTCCTCATACAGAAAAATCAAGCCGATCACTGATGAGTAATAAGCTGAGTCCAAATTTGAAAAGATTGCTTGTTTTATGAGAAGTATTTTGATGTAAACAGAGTTTGTGTTTTGCTAGAGAAACTCTTGCTTCCTAATATAGCGTCGGCTACTTCCAAGTAAGTCATAACCCATACACCAGTTATGGTGTATTAGGGTGATTAGGGAATACAAATGCCACTGGAATCAAGTGCCTTTTTGACATAAAAAAAATATAAAAAAGTAGAATTTCTCATGCTCTGCATCTAAAAACTGTTACACTAGGTTCTCTGTGTGTTTCCCCTTAAGGTTGTTGGAAACTCTTAGAGAGTCTTCAAAACATAATCACATAAAACAGTCCACTGGCAATGTTATCAACTAGGCCTCTCTAAAGACTAGAGAAAGCCCTGGTAATGTTCCAGATAAGAGCAACTTTCCAGCCAAACGAGGCATTTCTTTAACTACAACATAGTACAATGTCGATTCTTATCTTGTACAATCAAATTGTGCTGGAAGCTGTCCTTAAAAAAAGACTTAACAACAACAGCCTCCTTAGCACAGAACTGCAGTATTAAAAACACTGATATAATTACTGTCCCGGTATTTTTGAGAGGCTTTACTTTAATGAAAAGAGAAAATAAAACTAACATGCAGAAGGAGTCGAGTCAAATGACCAGGAAAAGTCCCGTAAAAACCAGGACCAAGCCGTCTCCTGCGACAGCATTACCTGAACACACACAGCCATACTTAACATGATTAGCATTCATTCATCGGTGCTTCACTCAGTACTACTGTAGCTTTCGTCCTCAAAAAGATAAGGGTAGAGAGCCCACCACCAACTTTGCACTGATGACTTTATAAACCAATTATTGTAAAATAAAGTGCTAAAAATCTTTAAGACTCTAAGAGGCAGCAAAGAGAGGCTGCCATTCATATACACTGTCTTCTGCTAACAATCAGTTCTTTAAACAGAAAAAACCAGCAGCCTATATACAGCGAGCAGTGCATACTGTGAGCCTGTCCTACACCGCTAACTATAACAAGTTAATTAGAGCTTAACATAAAATAAAAGAATTTTAATAAATGGCTTCAACACTTTGTGGTTGCTATGCTTTCCTGCACTCTCGGTTCTGTCTAGCAACATAAGATCTGTATTACTGTACACAGCAAGCAAACACACACGTACACACACATGAACACACGCACACAGGCATGCAACTCTAGCCTACAGGGCTGATTATTAACATAGAAGGAAAACAAATCACCTAGTCTAGTATTAGTGCTCTGTGTATCTGAGAATGAGAGGCTATTTTGTAGCAACCAAAACAACTGGGTCATATTAGAGCAGCCCCAGTTTTCCAGGCCTGCCTGACTCTATTAACAATGTCATGATGATCTGCCGGTTATTGGATTGAAACATAATTCCCCAGTCCGACTCACTTCCAAAATCTCATCCAAAATGTTCCATCTCCATCCAGATGGTTTGGAGTTTCACTCATGTCAGTGCTTGGCAATACATGTTTGTTTTGGTTTTCTCACTGTAAGGCACTCTAAGGCAGTGATGTTGTAGTTTCCAGGCCTTTCTGTGGCGAGAGGAGTAGAGTTACATTGCAGCTTGGAAACCATTGACTCTTAGTAAAATATAGCCCATTCAAAAAAGCTGCAGGGACAATTATATTGTATGGTAGGATGATCAGATCCTTAGAAACAGTACTGAAGTTCTGAACAGCTAGCCTGGAATTACAAAACTCCAGCCAATGGAAAGTCAAGGGAACAGAAAGTTAAATGTGCACAAATACATACAATGTGTTAGTATGCAATGCTGTATGCAAACAAGAGCTATTCTTTCCACTGCATTGCCTCATCATTCATCCTGGAACCAGTTCAAGAGCAAACCTGGGTTACATAAACAGAAGATCCTCTAGTTCCCACATTTAAAGCAATCTGTGAAGAAATACTGCAGAGATCTAAAGAAAAACACTGTTTTAATTCAACAAAGTGTTGTGTCTTGTCACTCACTATGTTTGTTGTTGTTTTCAGGGACTGGTGTAGTTCGAACAAGCTCATGGGGACGTCCGTGCTTGGGGTTCCGGCTCCTTGGCAGCCCTGATGAGGACAGTTTCGCAAACCTGGGGCCACTTGGGCTCTCCATGCCTCTAATGGTAGGTGAGGAGATACAAACACACACACAAGAGATAAATAGCTAGAGGCAATGTTGGAATGCTTACTGCCACTCATTAATCCTGTTCCATTGCTTGTCAAAACATTATTAGCAATGCCCACTGCATCAATAGCTTGTGATGACTTGTTCTACAATGCACTTTCTTCATGTCGGCCATCGATGTTATTGGACTGAAGGTTATCAGGATGGAGGCACACACATCATCTGCAGTGGTAATGAGGGTGTGACCTTCCATGTTTCATTTCAAAATCAATACTCTCACTTAGACACTTGCTCCATGCTCCACCCATTAGACAAAAGGTGAGTCAAAGACAAGAGGAAGATGCAAACTTTTTCCACATTATGCCCATGTGTCAGTTTTGGGTTCCCTCATTCCCCGTCAGCATGGGATAATCTAATGGATGAAGGCTGACAACTGCTAATTATGCTAAGCAGGTCTGATTACAATCCAACATACTTTCTCTTAGCACACATTCATGTTGCTCTGGTAATGAATTACAACCTACACAAAGGGTTACTCACTAAGGCCCTTTCAGTGTCTGTTTACATGCCATGCTATTCACTGTACAGTGAGTGATGTGGGCTGACAGTGATCATATGCTCACAGTTTGCTATAAGTTGTTAATACAATTGACACTAAAAGGCAGGGTGATCTGGCTGCACAGTGAATCTTGCAGAAATATTGCACACACCAACACTAAACAACTTCCTTTTGCCTGCATGGTGTGAAGATAGAGTGTGTGAAGGTAAAGAGCATTTAACTACTTAAAATGAACAGCTGCTGTGAGAAAGATGACAGTAAAATAGACTGCTGAATAATTGTCACTGATGAAAATGCATTAGATTACAAGACCAACTCTGCTTGTAATAGTTATTGTGAGGTTCAACAGTTACCTTACACTTTTTGTAAACAATTTATTTCCCCCTATGGAATAAACTGTGCATCACTATCTTGTATGATTATACCTTAGATATTCTGACATTTGAACAGCATCTAAAAAAAATGCATAGCAAATAAACCCTACATTATTATACATTTAGCTAGACACAACAAAACCTGGAGACGCCCACGCACATCTCCTCACACAATCTGCTGACAAACCACCCTGGAAATAAGTCTTTTAGCTCCGCACGTGGCACACTGCCATGCTGTGTGTCAACTACAACAAGGTTACAGAGTTGCACATTTGTTTGGCTGAAAAACGAGTACTCCACTTTTCCCTCCTGCTCGGCCACACCTACCTGGACTGTCGGGCAGTCACCCAGCACTAGGGGCCGGGTGGCCCCGGGTCACCCACGTGAGGGGGGAGGGGGTCAGGAGACAGGCACCTAAGTGGGCGGTTTTCCACCAATGTTATGTTACATGGCAATCACACCTGCTGTGCGTCAAGGACCGATCAGACAGGAGCTGGGGGCCCTGAGAAGTGGACAGTCGTCACGGTCGTCCTGTCTCTCGACTCAGACGACGACGAGGTGGAAGCAAAAAGGAGCCGCGCAGTAGAAGCAAAATGACAATTTCGTCTGTGCATGAAAAGAAATCCTGGACACTTTCACCTTATTCCCAGTTTGCAATTGCGTTGCCCCCCTCCTTTCCCGCATTAATATGTATACCACGAGGCACTTCTTCAACCTCCGTCTTCTCGTTAAACACTCCACAAATATTAGATATAGCCAGGAAATATAGGTAGGTCCTCGACTCCTTGAGGGAAAATATTAGAATACGGGATGGTTTATATAGGCAGTGAAGCAAAATGGCGACTTTATTGCGAAGGAGGAGTAAAAAAAATCCTTGCGCTGGCTGGAGCTAAAGGGAGGCACAAAAATATGTTTAGTGCAGTAATGTCGACGTCTGCGAGACAGTTGGTTAGAGTAAAAGAAAACGCAGCGAAGGAAATCAGCAGAAACGTCAAATCTCGCCCGGTTTTGATACACTCCTCGGTTCCTTACCTCAGGATTATTTCGCTTTTTTATACGGATAATATCTCGGCGGCTGTGTACAGTATTACAGTAATGTGTGTTGGGTCATGCGCGTATCCACTCCACCTTTGACAGTTGCAACTACAGTCTTGAGGCAACTTGCAAACTCTCGCGTTATTATTATCTATATCGAGCGGATCATTATTGGGGATTCTGTCTGATAAACTCGCTGCAATACTGGCTGGTGCTG